TATCAGTCTGCTGCTGCGATGACATAGTACTTGAGATACACAAAATAACCAAGTTTATTTTGGCTCATGGTCTCAGAGGCTCCAACCCGTGGTCGGGTTTGAGGTCGGTTGTGGAGCAGAACTTCATGGCAGAGAATGGCTGGCAGAGGAGATCTGTTCTTCTCCTGGTGGACAGAGGCGGAGGGGCACACCCTCCACTCAGTAGGGTCACTATCTCCCAGCAGCATCAGGGCTGGTGATCAGCCCATCAAACCGTGACCTTTGGGCTTAAGATAAAAACCATAACAAATATGTTTAAGAGGACTGTCATTAATCTCTCAGATACTGAACTATTGGGCTCACCTGAGTTACTACAAGTGGGCCATGAAGGCTACTAAGTTCCGTTTGACAGAAAACAGCCACCAGGAAGGCAGATGTGTCTCACCCAAGAGAATGAAGAGTCTACCTCAGCGCTAATCCTAGTTTTGTAATTTTTTATTATTTTATTGTGATTTTTAACTCCAATTTTTGTGCGCGTGGTTTAAAATACAACAGACAACCAATCCTTCCTGCTAATACCGATTATGATATTCAATTCCCAGCAGCTATCATTTGAAAGCAAAGCAAGGTCTTCTACACATAGCTGCCTCTGTCATGGTTCCCTAGCAGATACTAGATCCATGCACCCCTTAACTACACATATGTTAGTGGCTGTCATACCGAAGTCCAGGCCTTCCCTCTGCATCTCAGGATATAGAAGGCTCTGTGTATGTCGGGGGCATTCCCTCTCAATAACAAGAGACATCTCTGTTTACTGTTTCCATGGTCACCAGAGTTATAGCAGAAAACAACACTAAGCCCCCCACACACACACCCCCAGTGCTGCTCTGTAAAATCCATATAAATACCTCAATCTGTGCAAGAATGTTATTTCAATGAAGGTTTTGATGACTGGACACTGTGCTGATTTTCCTTTTTCTCCTTTTGTAAAAATGATCAACTTCCTTTTAATAATGGCATGTGCTTATGTTTCCAAAATGTTAAATTTTTATCTGGGGGTTTCTTTAATATTTAATATTCTAACTTGTTCAGTTACTAGAAAATATCTCATTTGTTTACTGCATTGCATGAGCTGTTTTTTTTTCTTTTCTTGATTGTGAAATTATCCATTTGGCAATCACGTTACTAATATGCGAAAAGTTCTTATTTTAATCATAAAAGCAAATGTCACCCGTGATTACTAAGAAAACTGTTCGTCAAATCAGCCAGTTTACTTCTGGATATAATCAAGTACCGCAGGCTATATTAAAATCTTAAAGGTACTGATTTCTGTATCTGTGGATATTTTAAAATAATAAAAGGAATCAAACCTTCCTGCCAATCTAGGTGATTGTGAAATTTAATTACCAGCAGCCGTCATCAAAACAGACGCATGCCAGTTTCTTTTACACATAATTGAATCATCCAGAAGAAAATTCCAAAGAGTTCTCAGAAAATGCGTTTTTAAGTTCATGTTAACCTGATAGCTTCATCCGTTATGTGTCAGTTGCTAACAGGTAAAAAGACACATTTGCCTGATATGGCTATACAACAGCAAGTCAGATTATTCAAGTCGGAGAACCTTGAGCTATGGAAATCACTGTAGTTCCCCTCCTTGTAAACACCAGCCCATTCCATTCTCACTCAGCTGCTCTTCAGAGACAGGGTTAGACCATTCCATTCCCTCTCAGCAGCTCCTCGGAGACAGGGTTAGACCATATTGACACCCTGCAGAAACCAACTGCTCCTTCTCTAGAGCTCAGATGTTCAAGTTCATCCTAGGATTCCAGGATCATCCCATCAAAGCCTCCAGAAGGTGTCCCACCCACCAGGGAAAAGGATCAATGTCCCAAGAAATGCAAAGGAAAGTCAGACGTTCCCATCTCCGTCTTCCTGAAATGCCTTTCTTTCTGCCTGTATTCTGTAAGGCTCCTGCTCACCCATCAGCGCCCAATGTGTCACCTCCACTGGCCACTGCAGACTGAAGCAATCACTCTCTGCCCTGCACAGCTCTCTACAGCATGTGATGTTTCACTCTAGAACACAGGCTGTGGGCTGCTGCCCATCTCTGCGGCTGCTTCTCAGGAGGACTCTTGAGTCATCTTTTCATTGCAAACATTCAAAGCTATGTCTGAAACCTGGAATGTGCTCAACAAATGTTTCTTTGATGGAGTCCAGTCTCAAGATCATATCCGGCAAATGAGGGAAGAAACAAGATTTTATGTGCACCGGGCACTGAGTTTATTGCACCACCTATGGTTGAAGCCATTATTGAGTGCCTTCATTTCCTTCTTCAAAGAAGATAATCTGTTTGCACCAAACATTCTTTTTTAAAAGGGGTGTGTGTGTGTGTGTGTGTGTGTGTGTGTGTGTGTGTGTGTGTGTACCTTACATATGTAGGTATGTCTGTGGAGTCCAGAAGAGGGCATCACATCCTCTGGAGTTAACAGGTTGCTGTGAGCTTTCAGATCCTTCACAAGGACAGCAATCTCTCTTAACCACTGAGCCATCTTTCCAACCTCGACATCAAGAGCTCTTATGCATTAGCTCCAGCATACTGACTTAATGAGGAAATTGAGGCTAGGAAAAAATTAAGTAACCCACCTCAAGATGCCTCACTGGTCAGCAGTGGAGCCAGAATCCAAATACAATGATCTCAGAAGTTTGGAGCTACAAAGAAAGCTAGAATTATCTTCCTTGCTAAGCCCTGAAGCTCAAGCCTGGCCCACAGTGGGCCCTTCAGATTGGTGACTAATGGGTTTACAGAGTGCCCTACTTTTTCAGACTCTGGCCTCTGCCTGAGAGAACCCAGCTGCTCTGAGAAACAGGCTCTATTCTTTCCTGCTCAACACCTCTCACAGGTGTGAATTGCCTGTGTCCTCTGAATTATTCATTATCCACACAATGGTAAGTGTGCTTAGAAAGAACCATGATTCCATATTTTGCAAGACAAAAAGTGTCCAATGAATTGGTGAACGAAGGCGCCTAAGACCAGAGGTCAGGTTGATCTACATGAAATAGGAAATAGATTCATGTCCACTTTTTTTCGCATTCCTGATTTCATGCAATTTCCCAGTTTCCAACAGGATTCAAAACAGTGGTCCAGAAGACAGTCGAGAAAGCCCTGGTGAGCGTGCCTCCCCTATCTGCACAACAATTACCGCCCTCCAAAGCTTATCCAGGCTTCTCTGAGCAGCAGTCTACCCAGGGCTGAGTTAGGATTTTTCCGACTGCTTAAGCTGTATCAAGAGCTGAAATTTCAGATGCCACAGCATCTATCATAATCCATGCCTCTAGCGTATCCTGCAAGGATACTTCTCCTAGTCCTCCCCAGTGTGTCCTTTTGCTACCCCTTCCCCCTCAGTTCATCCAGTGGGCAGTCTTTGGAGAGGGAGAACCATGTGCTAATAGGAAGCCAACAGCTCTGCATTTTAAATTCAATGTTAGTCAACCAAAATGAATTGAAACGCAGCAGCAGTGGTTTGAGGGTACTAAAAATAAGCCGTAGCATTTGCTGAGTTCTCAGAATTAAAACCACAGGCGGTCAACTTGTTGCTGCTCTTAATAGGAGCTGACTGCTCTGCCCACCGGCCGGCTACCGCCAGCAGCTCAAACTATGGGACACCTAACAATGCTGTTTTTATTAGCTGCCAGCAATCATTAACGGAAGTGTCATTTTCCTGCAACTAAACCTAACTCCCTCAACACACACACACACACACACACACACACACACACACACACAAATAGTGGATACCTTTCTGGAGAACACCTTGTTGAGACATCACAACTGCACTTGGTCACAGTCCTACCTTGTGTTTAGGATTTGACTAGTTACATATCCATAGACACAGTTCCTCTTATGCCTTCCTTCCTGTCCAGTGCTGGGTCTCACCTCCCCTCAGAGTTTAAATTTTGGAGAAAAATAAAAAGAACCCATCAGGACACCGTACAATATTAATACACTGAGCATTCCCACTAGACTTCAAGACCATCTTGACCCTTGAATTCTGTAATCCAGAATGTCTTACCAGCCACCCCTTCAGGGTTTCTTATTAAAGTTTTCAATGACCAAAAGGGTAGTGGAGCTGCGTCTAATGCATCATTCTGATTAGAAAGCTGTCATGTTCAGAAACCAGTGGGACTGCCTCCATTGGTTCTTATGCCTTCACATCCATTATCAGTTTTTTTCTCTTCAATTAGACCTGCTGATCAACCATAGAAAAGCTGAAAGCCCTTCTTTCACCCAACCACATTTAACACGGAAAATAATCAGAAGTCCTGAAAGTAAAATTACAGAGTACTATAAGAACATGTCTAGCCCCCCCACACACACACACACATTCTCTCTCGCTCTCTCTCATTCTCTCTCTCTCTCTCTCTCTCTCTCTCTCTCTCTCTCATTCTCTCTTTCTCTCTCTCTCTCACTGTAAATATGCCAGGAGTCTCATAGGCTGGGCTCGACCTCCATTCCACAATCTCACTTCAGTCAGAAGAGCAAGACACATTCTCCTGGCTGCTATCTCAAACCCATGCCCCAAGCGAGTGTCTCCAAGGAGCTAATTTCTGAAACAAACAAAGAAATCCGAGTCTGCAAGGAGCAAGGGTTTGCACCCTTCTGCCTTGGCTCTGGGTATCAATGGTAGCAGGCACGAAGGTAGACAGTTCGGGCGCCCTAGCTTCGCCCTCACCTTCCTCGCGCCGCCTGCCCCTGCTCCAGCTGTGCAGAAAGTGCGAGCCTGCCTAGCTGCTTTCGCTCTCCGGGAGCCCAAGACTGCCTGGACCGCACGCCTAAGACGCCAGCGCGTCCCACCTCTGCTCTGTCACAGGTCAGGCGCGGAGGTGCTGGGGCACCAGGATGCGGGTCATCCTAACAAGTGTCTCGCGGGACGCCCTTGTCCCGCGCCGCTCTCCTGGAGCAGGCGGGACGGCCACAGGTAGACTCTCCATCCCGGCACGGACGACCGCGCGCTGAAACTCACCGGAGGACACGGAGGAACCGGACAGACTGGAGTTGCTGGACGCTGCCATCTCGGCGCTGCGCGTCGCTGCTCGCTCAGTCCCAGTGCGGGCGGCGTCGCCGCTGCCCTTGGCTGGCTGCTCGCAGCCCGCGCGGCCCCCAGCCCATGGCAAAGTCCTGGGGACGCGCGGGAAGCACCGGCCTCCGGACTCTGCCTGCACTTCCTGCTCCGCCAGATGACGCGCTGCCGCCGCCGCTATTTATTCGTGCTCGCCGTCCCTCTCGGCGCCTGGGCGCGCTCCGCTGCGGGCGTCGGGGTGGCAGGGGCGCAGCGAGGCCGAGGTGGCCGGGTGGGAGGATGGGACCGCCGCTCTCACCGTCCCCGCCTTCCCCACCGCGGCCCCGCTCCCTGAGCGCGGTTGGAACCTGGGCGTCCCGCGGTTCCCCGCACCGACTCTCGGGATCCCGCCGCCGCCGACTCTACACTTCTAGCGGCCCGGGCAAAGGCGGGGGAGACAGATAGACAGCGACCTCCCCCCTTCTCCCTCCGCCCCAACTCGGCTCGCGCGCGCACACAAAGGAAGGAGAGGAACGCCGGCGCTCCGGGCTGAATCGGCTCCGCGGGCTTGACAGCTCCTGTGCCCCTGGCTGCAGGGGGAGGATGAGGACCACGGGGTGGGGACCAGACTGGATTGGGAGCTTGTCCCGAGGTGCTGGGCACACCGCCAGGGACGCAGGGCGGGCCGAGCAGCAGTGTACAGCTCTGCTTCCCGAGTTAGAAGGGGATATGGAGGGGTCGTAGAAGGAAGGTAGTGGGACTCGCAGCAAGCTCCGGGCTCTGGAGCAGCCACACAGCTGGGGTGGGGAACCCAGAAGGCGAAGGCGGAGTCACTGAGGACTAGGTGCTGGGCAGAAGCAGGCCAGGATGCCACCGAGGCTGGGGAGTGCCCCTTCCACCAATCTCCAATTTGCCCTTTGTTGCTCAAGAGCCAAAGGTTCCTGCCCTGCCAAAGTAGCATCTCCTAAAGCACCCAGGAAGCCCATCTGGCTACACTGAGGTCCCCCAAGGACTGGCAGGGACCGTGCCCAGAAAGTCCACTGGGCTTCTGAGACAGGCCTTCAAAGAAATAGAGATACCCCAAAGGTGGCATCAGACTTAAACAAAGAAAGAGGTCCTCTGCCCGTCAAAAGGGTCCTCACAAAACACTCAGGTTGCAGCGGGTGCAACTGTATCCTTTCAGGATAAAGAACTGCCTAGGTGTGTGTGAGAAAGACTGGAGCAGGTGTGTGCCACCCTCCCGTATTTAAACCTAAATTAATTTCACTGGGAGGAAATGTCATGCAGATTTTTTTTTAAATCCTTTTCACGCTCCCAGCAGGGTAATCGGTTCTTTCAATCCTGAAGCTACAGAAAACTGTGAAATTTGAACAGAAATTGTCAGATCAAAGGGAAAAAAAGCAAACATTAAAGGAATGAAAGTACTCTCATTATAGAGCAAAACGGAAAGTGTTCGCATTGGGAGCAGCACGGATTTGCAAAACATGACTAAAAGGACATAGTCCATTTGAAAATTATCAGGAGTGACTCAGAAACAGCAGCCAGGTCCTGAGGGCCTGCACATCCGCAGCGACCTCATGTACAGTGGATAATACATGTTAAATGATCCCAATACGTGCTCGCGCCACATTTTCTACTTGATTTAAAGTGTATTTTAAAATTCCCCTCCAGGATGCCATCCCAGTGTGACTGTCCCCACCCGTGGTTGTTTGTTGATTTGTTTAGGGAAAAAGAAAGGACTTGCTAAAGGGCTGTAGTCTGGGGGCCTCTTCAGCCACACTGAGCTGCACCCCAGTGGTCTCCATGTACAGGGCTCTGAAGACAGATCTGCCTAGGGAAACTGGATCTCTGTGCAGCCAAGTCTCACCATTCCCACCCACTTTTGGAGGGCAGTGCAAACTTGGTGTGACCTCATCTGTAGTCCTATGGGAACATACAGCTGCCCAACATACTCTTGACCTGTGTGAGAATAGAACTTCTCGGACACCCAGAGTTCAAGACACAACACGACATTTAGTTGTTGGGCTAGTAATTTACAAAGTCCTCCGGATCTTCAGATGATGAACACGGCCACAGGATCTTGACTACCTGGGCTTTGACGAAAAAACCAGCATCCGCGTTCCAACTTTGCTTCTGTCACCTGTCAGCTAGGATGTCAGCAAATGTCTTGGATTCAGGCTGTTTCTCCACTTTTATTACTGATAATATGGAGTGTTGTTGAGCGTTAAAAAAAAAAATAGTGAGGAGCCATATTGTACCAGGCCTGAAGACTGTATTTCAGAGGCCGTTGTAAATTGTTCACCTGAAATGTGGAATCAATGGTTTGAACAACGTTTGCTTTCTCTCCTGAAGATAACTAACCAGTGGTGGCTTATTTACTGAGGAAATGTCTCATTTGTGGCCTTATGTTTTTCATGTCCCAAATTGAGCAGTAAGTGGTAGACTTCATTATTCACTGTAAATCTCAGAACATGTCTGGTTCTATTTGTGCAGATTATAATATGTGCCGTCAGAGAACATTAGTAACAAGAACAACAGTGGGGGGGTGGAGAGTTGCCTCAGTATTAAGAGCACCTGTCGCTCTTGTGGAGGACCTGGGTTCAGGTTCTAGCACCCACATGGTGGCTCCCAAAACATCCTTAACTCCAGTTTTAGGTGTTCCAGCACCCTCTTCTGACCTCTATGGGTACCAGAAACCCACATGGTACACATGCAAGCAAACACGCAGACAAAACCCACATATAGGGAAAATAATAAATGAGTATTTTTTTTTAAGAAATCAATGTACGGCCCAATGAACAAGATTATTTTTATTACTCCAAAGAAATGAAGGGTTGGAGGGGTTCTCTCCAGGAAGGCACCACAGGTAACCCTGTGCAGTACAAAAGTAGAAGATAGAGATTCCTAAGCGAGGCCCCACTTGCGGTAGGAGGTGGATGGTAAGCCCAGAGCCGGTTGTGTAGAAGAGCAAACAAAATACCAGTTTCTGGATGAACAGTGAAAACTCATGACTCCTTGGGGCTGCTGATGTATAACCAGCAGAGAAAACCCACAGGCTTAGCTGCTCCAGATCAAGATTCACTTTCTCCAGGTCAAAGGCCAAGGGGCTTAGGGCTCTCTACTAGATGTTTCATGCCATAAATTAACAAGCAGGAGCCGAAGCAAAGTGCTGTCTTTGTCAGTAGCTGTAGGGACCACTGGTGGGCCTTCTGACACATGTCCCCAAGTGAAACAATAAAACCTTCATTCATGCCTTTTATTCACTTCTGAATGGTGCTACAAAAGCCCTGCTGCCAATGAAATGAGAAAGAATATTGATGCTATGTGGGATTGGTTAAATTCTAATGCAATCTGGTATAATTTTCTTAAATACTACATCTCTTTCCAGATGGTAAAAGATCCATGGAGAAGGACGGTTTGTCTATGTGGTCTGACAGAGAACTTAAAATTGCCATTTTGCTCTAACTTAGCATGCACCTACTTTCTTTGGGATTATTTATATTTATCTGGTATGTAGGCCTGTATGTGTGTATGCATGTCTATCTGCATGTGCATGTATGTATATTTACATGTGTGCATGTGTGTGTGCGTGTGTGTGTATCCACGTAATGCTTGCACACGAGGACAGCTTGCAGAAGTAAAGTATTCTCCTTCTACCATGTACATCCGGGAATTGAACTCAGACCCCGGTCCTCACGCTTGAATCATAGCCCCCAGCTATGATTATATACTGATTACAGATTTTATCACCAAATCAGAAATTCATGAAACAACCTCCCCTGCTGCCTAGAATACCATGTGTCAAACCTGGGCAGCCGGACAGGCCCCTACCTTAAAATCTTACTGCTCACTTCCTGTTGACTCCATCTCAGCTGTGACCTTTTCTCACTGTGCCCTATGTACCCTGGAGCTACCAGCACTAGTCTCTGTCCAGGTCCTCCCTATTGTCCACTGGAGCTGTGGTGAAAGTTCACCCAGAATGCACTTTGTCCAGAGAATCTTCTCATTTCCCAGCCATCTCTTCTGTGGAATGAATGCTCCCACTCTGCCACACCTCCCTATGGGCAGATCTCAGTTCCACCTTGTCTCAACGGGAATGCTGGGTGTGGGGACGGTTTTCTCTCCTTGGTCATTCAAAGCTTTTTGGAAGGGGTGGGGAACGGGGTAGGATGTTACCAGTCAAGCCTTTGTGTGATTTACCACAAGCCATGCACACAGTAGGTCATCAAGAGATAGCTTCTGAATACATGAGCCATGAATTGAATGACTGTTTGCCTGTCTGGCCGTGGCCACTGAGTGATGAACAACACTTCTGAAGCACACAGGGCAGTGGACAGGCGTGTAAAGACACTCAAGCCTTGAACGAGACAAACCAAAATGGGGAAAACAAAAGAATCACATCTAATGCCGCAAATGTTTTCAGTCCTCGCCCTGTTTCTCCGTCTGCAGGGACTGGTACCATTCCTGTAATATTGTTTACAGGGCACTCTTGCATTACTGTAATCTGTTATTTTATTTCAGCGTTCCTTTGAAGTTTGAAGCCAGACAGAACATACCGCAGGGTGAATGTCCCAACGTGCGGAGCTGCCCTCAGCGATCCTTTGGGGTGTTTCTCAGAGAAGGTCATTCCTTTTCCCTGTGCTAAACACAGAATGAAATATTCCTCACTTTCAAGATTAATCCAGTGCTCGGTGTTCATGGGAGAATTGTGGGGCTGTTCGTCAGGCAGCTTTAAATATTTTATGGCAAATTACTCTGGCCTGAAGTGGCCCCTTTGCCATCAATTCCTCACCATCAACATCATTGCTGCAAGAACTAGTTCCCTTTTAAGTTCAAGCCCTATTTCCTTACAAGATACCTACAAAACACTGGCTCCTTTCAGAAAGCAGAAAGCAAGCGAACTGGAGGCAGACGCTGACAGTCCTAGGTGGCCTTAGAGGGTTCCTGTGAGCACCCAGATGGTTCCCAGGGCAGGTAGCAGCCCAGCCCGGGAACAAAGAGGAGTCCACACCTGGGGTGCAGACAAAGAGAGGCCGCCTGCAAACCCAATTGCTGCTGCGAATCGCCAACTGCTGGAGACCCCTAGTGGAGATCCGCACGCTGCAAGCACAGCTATCCCTGGAAAATTGGCGGTGGTGAATGTCTCCAGAGTCCAGTGAGCAACACACACACACACACACACA